TTATATATCTTGTTGGAGATAATGGTTTTTCGGCAACTTTAATTTAAAATTAAAGTGGGACCTAGCCGCTAGTTGAGGTGGGTCTGAGTAATTTTGTATTCTTTTAAGTGAGAAGATTACAATACAAAAATAATGAGCTGAAACCATTGAGTTGTGAATGATAATTGTCTCATAAAGTAGGCATCAATAAAATTGGGCTTAGATTTGGGCTTAATTTTGGTTTGAAATGGGCCTAGGCTTATACTTGTGCATGTGTTGGGTTTGCCCTTGCCCTTGGACTTGGACTTGTACTTAATCTTAAGCTTGGGCTAAACTATGTTGTGTTGGGCTTAGCTTGTGCATGTGTTTGAGAATTGGGCTTGGATCGGGTTGTGACCTAACATTAGTATCAATTTTGTGACCATTCTAGTTGATTTATTCAAACATCATTATATATATATATATATATTTGTATATATTAAGCATGTGAGAAATGTAAATTCTTGTAACTTTCATCTTTCGATGATAGAGTTGATGGCCATATTAGTAGTCATAGGTTTTCAACTTCGTAACTCTAGCCCTAATGGCTAGAATTGATAGCCTTGGTTAATGGAATTTGATGGCCCTATTGATGTATAGCATTTATGGTTAGGGATTCCCTTACTTGTATAAATAGAGACATTTCCCCTCCAACTTGGTAGGATAATTTTTGAAGAGATTTTTGATGGAAAATGGAGATGATGTTTTGAGATAAAAAGTTAGAGATGTTTTTCTTTTGCCCCAAAGAAAATTGTTCCTATCTTCTTTTGCTAGCCCCTTCTTTGGTTCTTTTTAGAGAGAGTGTTGTCATTGTCAAATCCATCGAAATTATTCAGAAGGTGCTTCTACATTAACTGGTTTCGACTGTCGTATCGTGGGAGACAGACACTGGCGTACCTCTAGCATCCATCGGGAGACCGTGAATCTGTTTTAAGGAAACTGTGGTATCTCCAAATTTTGATTTGCATCTCTAATCTTTTGTTCTTTAAACTTTTTGACTTGAACTATTTTTTACGTATTATTTTATATATTCATGGGAATCTATCTCGTAATATGTTTTATGATATAATCTAATTTATTTATATATTTTTAGTTATGTAATTTATTCTGTATTTCATTCTTTGATAATAAAAAAAATTATTTTATCATTACTATTTATTTTAATTTATGTATTTTCTTATATTATTATAAAAAAATACCAACATATCTTTCCAACAAAGCATACATAAACTTTTGTGGAAAAATTCAGATGTCATGCTACAGACAAATTTGAATTAGTTAATCCTTTAATCAATCAAAAATGAGTCATACCACTAAAAAAAGATTACTAATAGCACTAATGTATTGGGAATGTTAAAAAAAAAACATAGATAGTGGGCAGGGCCCACTGCCACATCATTAGTTGTGCTATTAGAGCACCACTTTTAGTGCTCTCAACCATTTTTCTTAATCAATTATGTCTACTCTATGTCTTGGGTTTATAAAAAGAAAAAATAGAAAAATTACCCCCCAAAAGAAGGGATTTAAGTGAAAAAAACATTACATAAAAATGGAGAATTCAATATAGTAAAACTATGAGCTACGAAACAAAAGATTATTTTGGAAAGTAGATTAAATTTTTTTTTATTGAATTTTTTTTTTATAAAAAAAATGTGTAAAAAAATAAAATAATAATATGACCTAAAAGAGATTAAAAATTAAAAAATTACTTTTAACTTTTTTTTTTTTTCCCTTGTGTGTGTGTGTGTGTGTGTGTGTCAAAAGATGCCAAAACCACGAAAAAGCTCCCATGATCAAGCTGACATCCATTGTACAAGAGTCTTTTACACGACTCTAATAAAGAAATGAGTAAGCTCTGTAGCTCGAATTTTTTGAGTCCGAATGGCTTGAATTTTTCTCTCCTCTCCATCTCTCTCGCAAACCCACCCTTCGGCCTCCTCTTCTTCCTCCAAATCTGTTTTTTTCAAAACAGAATCCATGTATAAATCAACAACTCTCCAAAACAAAGATAGAAATTGAAGAAAGAAATTAAAAAATCAGAGAAAAGAAAGATAGAAATTGAAGAAACCAGATCCTCTGGCACAGTTTCTAACACCAAGGCAACCATGGTTTCCTCACCATCTACTCTCCATAGCTTCCTCACCATGGCCTCAAGTTCATGTAGGCAATGAATCTGGATGATTTATGTTGTTTGTTAGTGTTAATTGAATAACCCATGTTGGGTTTGCTTCAATTTCATGGTGGATTTGGTAGTTTTTAGAGAGAGAAAGTAGAGGAAGAAGAAGAGAAAGTTGAACAAAAGCTTCAATTTTGTGATGGGTTTGATAGTTTTTAGAGAGAGAAAGTGGGTTTGCTTCAATTTTTTGGTGGGTTTGACAGTTTTTAGACAGAGAAAGTAGAGGAAGAAGAAGAGGAATGAGGTTTTGGTTAGAAGGTTCTCTGTTTGTTAGATATTGGTTCTCAAATGTTTGAGACAGAAATGAGAGGAGGAAGGAAAAAGACGAAGGGGAAAAGAAAAAAATATAAAAACAAAAACGATGTCGTTTTTGCCTACTCGAGCGATTCGGGGCAACTACATTCGAGTTACCTAGCAAAACTCGAAAAAAATAGAAACAAAATAAAATGATCATATTTTCTCATAACATTTTTTTTTAATAATTTACATTTTAAAACTTCAAAAATTAACGGATTAAATGATTAAAATAAAATTCGTGATGGAGCTACGTTTGGAATGTGGGTTGGTTTTTTTTATTTATTTTTTTTGACTATTTTAGTTTGGGACTAAAAAGCCTTGTTTGTGATAGGCTTTTTGACCTTTTTAACTTCTGTGAAAGAAAAAATAAAATAATTATGGGTTGGATGTTTGTCCTATTTGACTAAAATAGCTAATTTTGTCCTATATGACTATTTTCGTCCAAATTTATACCTCAAACGGAGCCTAAGGATTCATTTGGAATGTGGGTTGACTTTTTGGCTTTTTAATTATTTTAGCTTGAGACTAAAAAGTCTCGTTTGGAATAGGTTTTTTGACATTTGTAAGGAAAAAATAAAATAACTATGATATAGATGTAACATTTTATCTTATTAAATTAAAAAATTTATTTTATTTTTTTATAATTATTTTAACTAAGAAATCTCATTTTAACTTATCCGAAACGAAAACTTAATTGATTAATTGATCTGATTCTATCCATTTACTGTACTAGACACAAGTCCAACCCATTATTTATCCCTCTCATCCCCTAATCTCATCTCACGGAACAAAATGTTTAAGCCTCTCGAGCATGTCATGTGGTATTGTCCTCACCAAAAAAGGGTTGTAGGGACATGCTAGTTGTATAGCATGCTAAAATTAACTCTTTGCAAATGTATTATGGTTTTTATGCTTGTTAGACACTGAATATTCTGTATGTTTGCACAATTTTTAATTTTTAAGCTTCCTTTGTTTATTATTTTATCTATTTTTTATTATTTGGTTAGTTAAAAAATTGGGAAATTTTTTTTAAGGTCTCTGATATTAATATTTTACAGCATAAATGATACTCAATATTTTCATAATGTCTAAGGTCCCTCAAGTTGATCCAGAGAAAATTCACGTCACAGAGAAAATTGGTCCAGAGAAATTCTGGAAATAATTTCTCTGGACTTTCCAGAATTTCTCTGGGTTCAACCCAGAGAAAATTCAAATTTCTCTGGATTTATTTTGTTCAATTTTCTCTGAGTTCAAATTCAAATTCAAATTTCTCTGGATTCATTTATAAACCAGAGAAAATTTAAATTTCTCTGGTTTCATTTTAACCAAATTTCTCTGGATCTCAGAACTAACACAAAAAAAACTTTGAACCTTTCCTAAATTTCTCTGGACTAACATCAAATTTCTCTGGATCTCTTAACTAACATCAAAAACATTTAAGAGGAAGTTAGCAACCAGAGAAATTTGAACACAAACCAGCCATCCAAACCAGTTTTCTCTCGCTGTGCCCAACAAGACTACCTACAACTTCTTACAAGTATATCTTGCCTCCAAATATGTACCCAAATAGCAATGGCGCCCATTGAATATGTATGGAAAGTTCAGAAGTTCTGTTTTGCCTAGGTAGTAAAGTTCAGAAGTTCTTATTAACTTTACTTTTGCATTATAGACCATGAAAAATCATTCTAGTAGTCCTAGGTAGTTAAAGGCATTGGTAACCAGAGTTACTTTCATCTAAATTGTTGTTTCTTGGTCTTTTTCTTCTTCTTATTTTTATTTATTTATTTATTTTTTCAGGTTGGCAATATGATATTCTGGTGCTTTTTCAGCAGGGTTAACCGATGTGCGTCCTACTCTACTACCACGACTTGATGAATAGAATAGAGAAAACACAGTGAAGCATCTCCCTCTTGAAACAATGTATATCATCACACCATGGCCCAAGAGAGTACTCCGAAACTCAAAAGTTGCCCAATCCTGCTGCAGTCTGTTCCTCAGTAAGTTCCATCTCTGAAACTGCAACATTACAATGGGTTTGTGCGACATGAAATTCCAATCATTCTAACATGATTTCATCACTTACCAAACATATTATCAAAAGAATAGACAAATAAAAATGGGAAGAAAATACATTAATTTGGGCAATCCTAAGCAACAGGGAGTTCGGAATTTCTCTGACTTCGGAATGTGTTTTAACCAAATTTCTCTGACTTCGGAATTTATCAAATGTGTTTTCATAATATGTTTTAACCAAATTTCTCCGACTTCAGAGTTTATCTCCAGAGAAATTTAGAATTTATCTCCAGAGAAATTTTGAATTTTGTGTTCTGTGCATGTGTGTGATGGGTTTGTGATAGCTGTGTGTGTGTTGTGTGTTTTGTGGTATGTAACATGTATCCATCTTCCTCTCCCTCATCCGAGTGTGCTGCTGATTTGCCCTACAACTACAAAAGCTTCATCGACAACTATTTACTATATGCTTTCATCATAATCATCGTTATCATCATCATCACCTACTCTTGTGATGATTGATGAATCTTCCTCTCGGAGCATCGGCGAATTTAGGGGGGTCCGGAAGGAGCCGGGAGAAGCAACTGAGACTCCTTGAGCGGCGGTGAGGTTTGGTGGAGGAACCGGATTCGGCGGCGGCACTTAGAAAAGCTTTGCGGTGATAGTCTTCCAACTCTTGGGGTTTCTGGGGAAAATTGGCTTCTTGGAAGAAGAGTTTTGTATAATTCTGTTTGAGATAAGAAGATGCAGCGTTGGAACCGCCGTGTCCATCGAAGACGGCGTAGAAAGAAGTCGGTGATGGAGAGAGGAAGAGAGAGGGTAATTGGGTAGAGAGATGGTCGATTAGGATGTGTTCGTCTTCGTTGAATTGACGATGTCCTTTGTCTGTGTGGCTACCAGAACGAATGGTTGGAACAAACTCAATACTCGCAACAACCAACCCAGAGTCGAAGAAGGAAAAGAAGGGCTTTTCATTGGGTAGGATGGCGGTTTTGGGAACGGAGAGGTGATGAACACTGAGAATGGACATCTCTACTTCAGACACCATGCTCTCACTACGCGTTCTCTTCGTGGTTGATTTGAAGGCAGACTCAGAATGTTCATCGCCGATCGTGATGCATGAGTCAAATTTCTCTGATATATGTTTAGGGACCTTAGACGTCAAAAAATATTTTTGTGAATCTCTTCTATTACGAAAAGTGAGAGAGGGACCCTACACTAATTTTTCCTAAAAAACAAGTACAATAATTATAAGGCAAAAAATTAAAATAGCGTTTCAAAAGTCCATAAGTAATTTTTTTTACTCTATCTTAATCATTGCTTTATCACCTTCAATCAATATCTTATTATATTATTTTTGTTTTTAAAGTTTTATCTATAATTGGTTTATTATTAATTTTTTTATTGTAAAAAATATTTTGACAACCAAATACAGGAAAATTGAACAAAGAAATTTGTTTTTGTCCAACGTCATTTACATTAAAATTATTTTACCATTACGTCGAAATAAATGGAGTTTTAATTGTACATTTCAAGAAGAGTAATGTTACAATTATTGTCTTTTCTCATCATATTTTCTTTACTAATAAGATTTCAGATGGTTAGGATCAAAATTAAATTTTTTTTTAATGAGAAAAGACCATGGCTGCAACAATTTATTTCCAAAAAATAAATACATGAATAAATAAAAACAAGAAATTTTGAATGTGAAGAATTTGACATTTGTTGTAATGGTTATGTGGACAGCCTTAGGGTGTAGGCTAGGGCTGTAAATGAGCTTAACCGAGTTTATGTTTGGACTTGTTTATTAAAATTTTAACGAGTTTGAGTTCGAACTCAATAAAAATTTAACGAATCAAGCTCTAATCGAGTTGACTTAGGCTTGACTCGAATTTGAGTTTGTTCACAAGTCTTAACGAGTTAAAAAAAAATTATAAATTCATACATGCGTATGTATAACGTCCCTAAATAAATGACAAAAGATAAATCTGATAATTCTATACAATTACGCTAATCTCAAATTAAATGGTCAAATCTCTATATTTGTATTTCAATCATGCAAGAGAACTACGAAAAGAGTCGACATGCAATACAGATTCAGATTTCAAAAGAGTGAATCCATAACATGTGCAACAATGAAAACAAAAGGGATAACACAAAATGAATGCCTTAAAGGCTACAAGTTTCAAGACTTAAACCCAGTTACACAAAAGATGGTTATCAAAAAGGAAGCCCATACAATTACAACCCTTAGCTTGTCAAAAATATACAACAAAATAAAAGAGTGTCGTACTCTCAAAACATATTCCTCGCGTTTAGTTAGGAGGAATCACCATATCCTTTTCTCCACAAATCCACTAGGGGTGAGCACAAAACCCAATAGGAAGATCTTAACAAAGTATATATGTTTAAGTAGCCTCACAATATGTATGTTATGCAATGTCATCCTCCAAAAATTCATATCTTTATTCATTTTTGAAAATCATGTGCAATGCTTTTTTAAAAAAAAGGACCATCTCAGTAATTTCATAATACACAATGCGTTGGTAAATACGACTTACATAATTCCTAGATTAGTGTCTGCAAGTAGGCTTATCAAGTACTACCAACCCCCACTTTACTAACTCCTAACCGAAAGGGACGTAGTATCTACTCTGCTTGTGTTTTCGGTCTTTCACCCTAGACACTCAGGTCAATTTAAACAATATCAATCTACACCTCCTATTCGGATTTACCAACGTATTTATCCCAAAACATTTTCAAGATCATCAATTGTTTTCTCAAAACAATGAATTCATTTCCAAAACATGACCATAATAAACGGTAATCAAACTATGCAAATGAATGCTTGTAAATGAAATTTTACAATTTCAATATTTCTCAACATTATGTCTTCAATGATGCAAAACATCTCTATTTAATAAACATTAATCATATCCATGTGACATATTCACTAATGCTATAAGATTTTCAATTTTTTCATGATCCAGGTATTCTCATTATACTATCCATGGTACTTTCTCAACAAAAATTCATCCATAACATAAATGATTTAACAACATATTAGCTTATGATCTTTCTTCAATAATTCCAACCTTTTCCCCCAAATTTCAAAATCTAGGTGTTTTCACCCAACATGAATTTCTTTCATTTTTAAGAGGCGTTTTAGCCATTAGACTTCCAAGAATCACACATTTCATAAATAAGAACCAATTTCATGGGAGGGAAGAGAAATACCCCTTTTAAAACACATTCAAAACCCAAATCATAACCCAAAGATAACATCAAGAAAATGACTAGAACATAACAAAATTATACATATAACTCAAAGAAACTCCTTACCTCAAGATTTGGAGAAGAATAGAGAAGAAACCCCCAAAAATTGACAGTGTTGAAATCCTATCTCCACCGCACAAAATGTAACTCTCGATGAGCTCTCCAACTTTGATGAAGGAACTTAGGTCAAAGCTTAAATGGATTTAGAGAAATCAAGGATTGAATAGAGTTTGGTGAAAGTAAATGCAGAGAGAAGGAAGAGAAATGTATTTAGAGAGAGAGAGAGAGAGAGATAGGGAAAAGTGTGAGATACACTCAGCCTAAGAAGAAGAAAAAGAAAAAAAAAAATCAGATTCACCGTTTTCTCACATGTGCGGTTATTTTAGAAAGGACCGCCCGGAACTCCCCACTTCGCTGCACATGCAGCGCCTACTTTCACATTTACGGCATGCATTTCGTATGTGCCCTCCTCTCGTGCAATTAAATCAGTTCCCAACCTTTGAAGACACACCCTCACCATACGTGCGGCCTCACCTCCCGCACGTGCGACCCTGCTTCTATACCTACGGTTTTGCTCCTTCTCCGGATTTGTACGCTTTGCAAGCCCATAACATCCTTAACTCTAACTATGCTTCTAAAACAAGGAAACTCAACCCCGAAACAAACAAAAATGGTAATATAAATCAGCAAAAGGTTTCGAGAGTGATGTACCTAAACGGCAAACAAGACATTAGATTAGTTCCTAACACTCCCATCACGAGTAAAATAAACACGATTAAAAGGAAACAAGACGGGTTATATACCCGGGTCACAGTATGAGACTAAAGTGACAATTGGAATTTCGATTATACAATCATATATAAACATACCCCAAAAAAAAAGAAAAGTTAATATTTTATCAAAATAATAATATCTACCACTACTATTATATAAATTTATTATCTATAGTTAGTTATTATTTACATTTATATTTTTTTAAAATATAAATAACATATTTATCTTATTTTTTATATTATTTAATATATAAATAATAAATGTTAAATATGGAAAAACGAACTTACAAGCCAAGTTTTAGTATATTTGAGTTTGTTTATTAAATTTTAATGAGCTCGAGCTCAAACTTGAACACACACACACACACACACACACACAAAATTAATGAACCGAGTTCAAACAAACTCGAGCCTGAGCCTGTTTACGAAAGAGTCTATTCATTTGCAGCCCTAGGTGCAGTAATGTTTGGAGTTCAAGCTGGTTGAACAATGAAAATTTATTGTATTATAATTTTCCTACTAACATCTAAGAGCATCTCTAATGATATTTTTAAAAGAGTATGTTAACTATTATAAGTAGTTTCATCTTTGTTTACTCCATCAAACAGACATAAATAAAAATGTGATTAAGTAAAATAAAGAGGATTCATTTTTTGTACTTTTAACTAGTGAAAATAGAGAATAGCATCACCTCATTTGATTCCAATTTATTTTACTTAATTTTCTAAGAATTGAGTTTTTTATTTTTCGTATTTTTTTTTGTTTTTAGTGATTTTTTTTAATATTTTAAATTTTTTTTTACTTTTTACATATATTTAATATAAATACAATTAAAAATATAATATTTGTAAAAAAAATATTTAAAAATTCACCAAATACCAAAAATATATATATAAAAAATGAAAATCCAGTATATTTTCATATTTTTGTGTATTTATTAATTTTTTAAAATATTTTTTTTATAAATATTTTACTTTTTAGGTACATATAGATTAGGTACATATAAAAAATAAAAAATTTGTTTAAAATATTAAAAAAGTTACTAAGAATATAAAAAAAAACACAAAAAATCAAAAAAAATTCAATTTTCAAAAAATAAATTAGAACCATACATGGTGGTGTTGCTTTAAGATTCTACCTTGTGAAAGTAGTAGTAATAATAATAATAATAATAATAAGAGTTTATTACACTTTCTACCTTTAACCTATTTTCAAATTGTCTATTTAGTTCATGAAATATCAATTGAATCTATTTAGTCCCTAAAATATATAAATCAAAATCTATTTAATTCCTAAAAGGATTACAAAAAGAAAATATATACTCATATGTATTATAAATTAGTAAAAGACCCTATCCAATTAAGATTCTATTATAGAAAAATCTTTTAAATATTCATTTTGTATTTAGAAGGTATTTTATTTCATTGTTTGTTTAAATTAATATTACAGTCAAATTTTTCAATATTGCCAATAAATTATATGAATATTAGATATATTGAAGAAGTAGAATTAGATAATTTAACTACTAACATTTCTCTACAAATAGTAATAGAACACATTAATACATTAATTAAGTAATAAAAAGAACTTAGCAAAAAACTTAAAACAATAAATTAGAAATTATAAACGAAACCTTACATATAATACTAGATAAAAGTAAGCATGTATCCATTGTAAAAGATTTGTAATAAAATACTATAGATAATTACTCTTATTCTTATAAAAGAAATTCAATATATAGATTAACACCCACTTTTTAAAAATAAAATAAAATTTTAATTTTTTTTTGAAATAAAATTTTAATTAGATAGGGTCTTTTACTAATTTATAATATTTATGAGCTTATATTTTATTTTTGTAATCCTTTTAGGGACTATATAAGTTTGAACTAAATATTTTAAGGGCTTAATGGATTCAATTGATTGTTTAGGGACCAAATAGACTTTCATTTATATGATTTAGAGACCTAATAGACATAATTGATATAGTTTAGGGATTAAATAGAGAATTTTATAATAGCTTAAGGGTATAAAGTGTGATAAACCCTAATAGTAACTAACGTCTTAAAGCCATTGGACCCCAAGTTGAAATGTAAGGCCGGCCCACAATTGTGTTTTTACCCATTAATAGGCCCAATCCGACTATTTTATTTGGGCCTGGGAATGAAGTGATTGGATGCTATATCAGATTTGACAACTGTATAGGGGTGATAAATGAACTGAATGAGTTGAACAATTAACTGTTTAAATTTGATTTGAAAATTTTAATAAGTTTCAAAATTTGTTTAAGTTTGGTTTGTTAAACTTTTAAGTCGATCTCAAACGAATTTTTATTGAGCCGAGTTCAAGTAGTTTGATATTTTATATAATTTTAGGTTTATTGAACCGAGCCGAACGAACAATTGACCTTAAAGCTTGGTTTGAAAACCTTAATGAGCCGTAAATGTGTTCAAGTTTGGCTTGCTTATTTAATGAACCAAGCTCGAACAAACTTGAGTCGAGTTCGAACTGTTTGATTCATTTATCACCCTTAGCTAGCTTTATAGGAAGTAGGTTGACTTTTTGGTTTTTTGGCTATTTTAGCCTAGAGCTAAAAAGCTTGGTTTGGGAAGGGCTTTTTGACTTTTTGACTTTTTTGACTTTTTTTGTGAGAGAGGAGTGTAATAATTATGGGTTGGATTTGATGTTTTGTTTTTTATGGACAAAATAGCCTATTTTATTTTTTGTGACTATTTTAGCCACTAACCCACCAAAACCAACTTCCCAAACTATGCCATATATGTATATTACACTCATTGTTTCTTAAATTTGTTGAAAATACAATTAACTCCATATTTTTGACATAATTATACTATTTTTTTTTTAAAATTCTAATTCACATAACAATTAAATCATTTTTCATTAGTAATTTGTCAGTCATATGAATAAAAAAAATAATATTGTCATATTTAATACTAAAATGTATATTTTATCATTATTTGTTTTAGTACGTACCCTTCATTTATATTAGTTTCAATCACTTTAATTTTTCTAAAAAAGAAAGTTATTATAATAATGTCAAGAATATCAAACTAGTTGCATTTTTTTCTAAACCTTTTTTAAAAAAAATAAGTATAATTTACTTTTTCTTTTCCTTACTCTTTTTAAATCTAAAAAGTGGATAATTTACTCTCTTTTTTAGTCAAAAACATTTTTTTTATTATAAAAATCTTATTTATAGCCAAACAACAGCTTTTTTTATATATTAAAGCCTCGTTTGGGAAGTTAGTTGTTTTAGTAAGTTATTTTAATTTTTGGTTATTTTAGTAAGTTAAAATTTTTGTGTTTGGAAAATTGTTATTTTTTTTTTTTTTTTTTTTGTAATTCAATGTGATGTTTGTAAGAAAAAAATAAAATGATTATAGATTTGATGTAACATTTTATCTTATTAATTATTTTAATTTATTTTATTTTTTTATAAATTTTAACCTAAAAAAAGCCAAAAATTTACTTCCCAAACGGAGCCTAATTTTAAACTCGGTTTCAGCACGTTAATGGCCAAACTTTTGGTCAGTCATTTGCCAATTGGTTGGGCAACTATCAACTTTCTTTACAACGCCCAGCTGCTCCAAAACTCCCTAATCAATATGCTGCTCAGATCTGTTAATTTCTGTGTAGTTTATATTGCAGTAATTGTTACACCCAGGTCTAGCGGTGTATGTAAATTAAATGTATAATTAAATAAATAACAAAGTTATAAATCAATAATTTAGAAAATAATTTAATAAATTAAATTATGGATTAAATGATTATAGAAATTTTAAGTCGAGACTTGTGTTGGACATAATTTCCTTAAAGTAGATTTAGCCCTCGCTTCGGTGCTTTGAGTTTTAACCGGCGTCTACTTTCATGGATGCAACGACTAACACTTGAATTTGCAGCATTGCAGAATCAAGTTTGGCGAACCAAAACTCTATTGTGACTCTTTCTTTTTCTTCCTAAAATAAAATGCAAAACAGATGTAGAAACAGGAGGACGAAAAGAGGAAGAAGAAAGAAGAAAGAAGAAAGAAGAAATTGATCAATTGCGAAGATAATCCAGGGGAGTTGCCTAGGGAAATGGAGAAATTGGAAGGGAAGGTTTTAGGACTCAGATCGGCGATAGAGCGTCATCAGAAAGATGTCAAAGAACTCAATGAGGAGGTAATTTAATTTCATTGCTGTTCTTTTCAAATTGTTTTTTTCAGAGGCATACAGTTCTTTTCAAATTGTTGAGTGTGTTTTTTGTGTTTTACATGTTTACACAGGTTAATTGAAACCTTCTCATTTAGCTCCTTCCTTGTATAATAGGAACTTGATAGATCAACTTTGGAGTGCGTAAGGCTGCAGGAAAGGAATATGGCATTGGCCAAAAAAATAAATAAGGCTGCAATTTTTGTTTTTGAATGTAATAATGGTGGTTTTGAGTTCAGTTTCACTGTTGACATAGACCCAAGTTACATCCAAAGCTTAATTAATCACTTGATTAAGCTTATTGCCCTCACTCAGTCAAACCAGAAAGAGAACTTGATAGATCAACTTTGGAGTGCATAAGGCTGCAGGAAAGGAATATGGCATTGGCCAAAGAGCTTGCAACATTGAAACTGTAAGTGCCTTCATACTAGTGACAGAACCATTTATGTTTCGAGTCTCCAAACGAACTTTGTTGATTATTATGGCTATCTGATCGAAACACTTCGAGATCGAATGTTTAGGCCCTAACACATTCATTGAAACACTTCGAGATCGAATGTTTAGGACCTTTTTGTCTACAATCATTCCTGAGAATTCAAGGTAGGTAACATCTTCTCTGTTTTTTAGTTCCTTACATTGATTTTATTTTGTATATTATGTGGCTATTTTTGATAAAATAAATTTCCCAACATAATAAAATTTGGATTACCAAGCAGGCCTTTTCGGAGGCCAATGTTACTCTGGATTTGTGCATTATTAATGGATAATAGGCAGCATCTGAAATTTTCAAATGTTGGTATTTATTCATTTATTATTAATGGATAATGGTATTTATTCATTTATTATTTTTTTTGTTGGGTATTCCCATAGCTCTGTGATGGACGATTGCTTGCAAATAACGGGTGAGTTGCTGAGATGAGAGATACTTTATTGAAAAAAGAGAGTTGGTGAGAGATAAGCATGTGATGGGAGCAACTGGTGTTGTATTGTCTTTCTGTAGTTTTCTTCCTGTTGTATTATTTATCTAAAATGCCAGGATTTTTATTTTGTCATTAGCTGCAGTCTTTGAAGTTGGCCGTTCTTTAATTTTAAGTTTTGCATGCCATGTCTGAGTCATTAGCCTTTTTGTCGGAGTTGCATTATCTTTCTGTAGTTTTCTTCCTGTTGTAATTTGTATGTCCTGCTAGTTCACTATTGTTTTTTCAGTTTGGATGTATATTGCCTCGTATGGATGGAATCTAACAGCTTTAACTAACTTGCAGTTCAAGAATTGCACAGCAAGGAGGTGAAATCGTCATCTGATTCATATTTGAAAGGTCTCATGATATTAAAGGTGATCTTGGGAACAGTTTGATGCTTAAAATACTTACAAGTTTCCCTGAACAAAGTGCTGAAGTGTTTAGTTGCATGGTCTCATGATATTCCTTGCATAACTAATTTTTTTTTTCTTCCCCAGTTTATACTTTTTTTAATTGTGCACTGATTTCTTTTAACGGGTAATACTCCAATTTTTTTCATATTTTTCCTTGAGCATATTTTATGATTATTATACTGAATTTTGTATAACTTTGGTTCTAAATGTATATATAGAGCAGAGTTGGGCCAGTGGAATGGTTTAAACCGTACACCGATGACACTATCATTGAGCTAGGGCAGAAAGGAGTAAAAAACCTTCTAGCCGTCCCAATTAGGTATGTTGTACTGTCACTGCTCGTCTTGGTGTGATGTTTTCAGATTCTTTACTGTCAATAAGCTTTATAGTGTGGCATGTTAATTTTCATAAATTTTTTTGGTTAGAGTTTTATGCTTTACACCCTTGTCTTTGATACAGCTTTGTCAGTGAGCATATTGAAACTTTAGAAGAAATTGATGTTGAGTACAAAGAGTTGGCTTTGAAATCTGGTATAGAGAAATGGGGACGTGTTCCTGCACTAGGTTGTGAACCCACTTTCATTTCAGATTTGGCTGATGCTGTGAATGAAAGTCTTCCATACATTGGAGCGATGGCAGTCTCAAATCTTGAAGCTCGACAGGTCCGACTTTGGACATTTATATTTAAAACATGGAACTAATGTGGAATGCTAGTTATAATGTGGAACTAATAAGATCTTGTCTTTACTGATGTGCCATATTTTATTTATTTATTTTGTTCTGACTGGAGGTTGTGGGTATGCCTTTTGCAGTCTCTAGTTCCTCTTGGAAGCGTTGAAGAACTATTGGCAGCGTGTGATTCGCAGCGTCGGGAGCTTCCACCACCGGTCACGGTGTGGGAATGGGGATGGACAAAAAGTGCTGAAACTTGGAATGGGAGATCAGCTATGTTGGCAGTGCTTGTTCTACTGGTCTTAGAAGTGACTACCAGTGAGGGGTTTTTGCATCAATGGGGTGTGTTGCCCCTATTTCACTGAAAGGAATCTATGCAACTCCCTCTCTCTCACCCTCTAATTCACTGTTCTGTTTGGTTGCAGAGAAATGATACGAAAAGAAATTGAAAATATGAATTTTTGGTTTTAAATATATTAAAAAAAAATGCAAGTATTTGAGCTTAGGACTGATCTGGTGGTCTGAGGGTAAGTAAATGGATTAGTCATTATTACTATCAAGCTGGACCTATGAGGGAACAGTTATTCTGAAACTAATTATAGAACCAGACAAAACCATCTCACATGGGTGTGAGACTCACAAAAAAAGTAGGACTCATCTCATGTGAGAGGGTTATATCCAGTTCTATAATCTCTTTCTGTGTTCTTAAATTTATTCATGAGGGAATGGTGCTGCACCCTGCGTGACCCAATTTGGGGGAGAGGGAGCAAGGAGGGGGGATCACATTTATTGTAATTCTTTCCCATTTCTTTTTTCCTTTTTGTTTTTTGTATTCACATTTATTGGTTTTTACTATTATTGATGTGAGGGAATAGTAATCTCACATAAATATATGTTTATACAAAGTTTTATTCATTATTGCTATTTTATAGGTATATTTTTTAAGTTAAATCTCACAAAATTAGTATTTCAAAAAAAAAAAAGAAAATCTATTGCGGCGTTTTTCAAAATGCCACTATAGTTATATATTTAAAATAACAAAAAAGTTATTACGACGTTCTTGATGCGTCGCTAAATGCTTATGTGACGTTGAGGTGCGTTATAATTTTTTCCCTGTATTTCTGTTGCATCTCCTTGTTCTATTATGATGCAAATATTATGCACTGTTCTGTGTTGTTAGGCCTATTGCAAAATCGATGGAGTTCAAACAGATGTTCTCATCAGTGGAATTGCTGCTCAGAATAGAGCTGTAAGTCTGGGGTTGCTTTTTCTAGTGATGTTCTAAATGAAGTGCTGTTGACTTCAATTGTCTACGTACTTTTTGTACATTGTGCATTTAATGGATATAAAGTGATAGGAAGTTAACTCACTAATCTTGATTTGTTTGCTTTCTGTTCCTTCATCAGCTGTATACTGTTAATCATTGGCAGTCCCATTTTTTCTTTAATTCATTGCTGGATTTCGGTATGCTTTTATATTCAAGTACATTTATGGTTATTTGCATGCTTAAATTTTGTAGTTCCATCAACTTGTTTTGCTTACTTCTATGTGACTCGCTAACCGATTCCTTGTGTATGCCTTTTTCTTTATATCCAATTTGATGATCAGAAAGTAGTTACCATATTCAGGGAAGCAAGAATAGAATTATGTTGATTGGATGCACTTTAAACTATGTCAAGGTTGATGGAAAAATAGTTGTCCATGTACATTAATGATTTTTAAGAGGCAATTTTTTCCACCCTTTCAAGTTTCATCATTGCTAGAGCTGTAGGGATTATGAGTGTGGAGTCCCATGTTAGCCCTCCGAGTGGTTGAAGCTGCTATTAGGATTGTGAGTGTGGGAAGTGGTTCTTCTTGCATCATTTGACTATTTGGGACAATAATCCTTTTTATACTGGGTATGGTTTTGTATTGAAAAACATTTGTTGAGAAGGTCATTCTTAGGACAGATAAGGTTGACAGTCGGCCTCAAGGATTTAGGGAAGAAGCTTTTCTTTATATAGCCTTCTGCAGCTTGAAGCAATAGTTCAATTTTAAACTGTTTGATAAAGATCATGGGGAGGACTGAGTGGGTGTTGGTAATGGAAAAAGGGTTTTTCATATCTAATAATAAATTAGGTACATTTTCATTTTCTCTTATTAATACAATGATGTGGTGGAAAATCTTCGGAAAGACCATGGTACTCTTGTGGGAAATCTATCTGATTTTTGTTTTTGTTTGTTTGTTTTGATTTCTGATTGCAGGGAGTATCTTTTTCCCATGGCTGACATTGTAACTCCAAATTTAAAAGAAGCATCTGCTTTACTTGGTGGTGTTCAATTGGAAACAGTCGACGACATGCGTTCTGCTGCAAAATCTATCCATGACATGGGTCCACGGTTAGTGCTTTGCATTTGAGTTTTTATTCTTTTTGAGTTAGGCTTATCAGAAGCTGCCAAACTTTTCCACAATCCCTCCAAAAGTAGGAAAAATTATATTTCGACACCTTGTTGTTTGGCACCAAGTCACTTTAGCGTTGAATTTACTGACATGACACTTATCTAGTCTTTGTGAAGGTAACTAACACGTCACCTTTCTCATGGATTCAGTAGAGTCTATTAGTAGAAGTTTGGGCAATGATAAAGATATGAATGCCAATTGTGATTTGTGAGAGGGAGGTTTAAGTGTCATGCTAGGCACTGTGAGAGGCAGGTTTAACTTTGAGTTTGCATAGTCAATGTGTACATATGGGCTTGCTCTTTTATTTCTTAGAGCAGATTTGTTTTACAAAGACTAGACAAGAAGAAGAATTGTAATTCGTAACAGCTTTGTTTTTGTTTTCAGAAATGTACTTGTCAAAGGAGGTGACCTCGCTTCTTCATTGGATGCTGTTGATATTTTCTTTGATGGTATGCTTAATGTATTCATTAGGGTTTTTGATTTGTAACTGTGTGTATCTCTAGGCGGTGTCTTTTGCTAATTTGATTTCTTGATTTGATCTTCTAGGAGATAATTTCTATGAGCTGCGTTCACCACGCATAAGAACTCGGAATACTCATGGAACTGGCTGCATTTTGGCTTCATGTATAGCAGCTGAGCTTGCAAAAGGTTCTTTAATGCTATCAGCTATTAAGGTAATCTATTATATGTTTGTATTTCTGGAACTTCTAACAGTTATGTGTGCATTGCACCAACAAAATAAATAAGGCTGCAATTTTTGTTTTTGAATGTAATAATGGTGGTTTTGAGTTCAGTTTCACTGTTGACATAGGCCCTAGTTACATCCAAAGCTTAATTGATCACTTGATTAAGCTTATTGCCCTCACTCAGTCAAACCAGAAAGATAGAGTGGCATTTTCAGCAGATAACTGGCCTATAACTTAATATATGAAAAGACCTTTGGCAAGGTAAAAAAAATTGAATACAGATCCATATAGCGGGCTCCATATTCAGGATTGCTTTTGTTGCCATTTGCTTTGTGACATTTGTCACTATCTGACTGATGCACTATTTGACTGCTCATGTTTACGTGTTTTTTGAGTTAATGTTCTTGAATGTTGTTGCTTGTTCTTAAAATATTAAATATGTACCTTGGGGAAACCGTTTTTGCCTTTCATTTGAAACAACAAGGGGTCAAAATTCAAGGAAATGAAACATGCAATTTACTTAATCGGTCATGTGACTAATTTTGGACATTTTACCTGGCAATACTTTACATTTACATTGTTACCAGATGCTTAAAAGGAAGATTACTATTGTTATTCACCCAAAAAAAAGATTACTATTGTTATTATGGTGGTTCATATTGTTATTTATTGAAATAAATGAAAAAACCAATTTGAACCTAGACAGAGTAATCTGATTATCACATTGTCTGAGCTTGAGGGTTTTTTTTTTATTTAAAATTTTAAATATTGTGTCACCATTGTATATTTTGTGAGCATGTGCAATGTAATGTCCATGTTTATCTTCTTTATAATTTTTTGGTAATCAATATCATGGATTGTCCTCACCATTGTTTCCAAATGGCATGGATTCATCAAGAATCAACACTTAAAACTACGGTAGAGTGAGTGTTAATTTATTTAGGAATGGATCAGCTACTGCATGGATTTAACTTATTGGATTTTTTTCTTGAAGGATGTTGTATTGGGTATTATTATAGATGTGAGGGAATAATAATCTCACAGAAATATGTCTGTACAAAGTTTTATTCATTATTGCTATTTTACAAGTATATTTTTAAAGTTAAATCTTACAAAATTAGTAGTTTAAAAAAAAAAGGAAAAAAATTTATTGCGGCGTTTTTCAAAACGTCACTATAGTTATATTTTTAAAGTAATAAAAAAGCTATTACGACGTTTTTGAAGCGTCGCTGAATGCCTGTGTGACGTCATGTTACCGTTGGCTACGACATTTAGCGGCGTTTTTATAAACGCCGCCTATACTAATTTTACGACGTTTTTAAAGCATCATAAACTTATAGCGACGGCCGCGTCCTCGACGTTTGGTGGTAAGCGTCACTAAAGGAATTAGCGGCGTTTTTCATACATATAGCGGCGTTTTTAAAACGCCGCTAAAAGTCATTTTTCCAGCAGTGTCTTTTACTAATTTATAATATTTATGAGCTTATATTTTATTTTTGTAATCCTTTTAGGGACTATATAAGTTTGAACTAAATATTTCAAGGGCTTAATGGATTCAATTGATTGTTTAGGGACCAAATAGACATTCATTTATATAATTTAGAGACCTAATAGACATAATTGATATAGTTTAGGGATTAAATAGATAATTTTATAATAGCTTAAGGCCCCGTTTGTTTCCAGAGATGGAATGGAGGGGATTGATAGTGAGGGGATTAATAGTGAGGGGATTGTTAGTGAGGGTCGTTTGTTTTCAGAGATAGAATGGAGGGGATTGATAGTGAGGGGATTAATAATGAGGGGATTGTTAGTGAGGGGATTGATAGTGAGGGGATTAATAGTGAGGGGATTGTTAGTGAGGGTCGTTTGTTTTCAGAGATAGAGGGGATTGATAGTGAGAGGATTAATAATGAGGGGATTGTTAGTGAGGGGATTGATAGTGAGGGGATTAATAATGAGGGGATTGTTAGTGAGGGGATTGATAGTGAGGGGATTAATAATGAGGGGATTGTTAGTGAGGGGATTGATAGTGAGGGGATTAATAATGAGGGGATTGTTAGTGAGGGGATTGATAGTGAGGGGATTAATAATGAGGGGATTGTTAGTGAGGGGATTGATAGTGAGGGGATTAATAATGAGGGGATTGTTAGTGAGGGGATTGATAGTGAGGGGATTAGTAGTGAGGGGATTGATAGTGAGGGGATTAGTAGTGAGGAATTGTTAAATTATTTTTATATAAAATAATAAAACAAATAAAAAAATATAAAAAATTAAAAATTATATTTTAAAAAAATTTCCAATATATAAAAAATAAAAAAATTTCTAATCCCCTCACTATTTTTCTAATACCATCTCTACCTCCTCACTATGAATCCCCTCCCCAAGGGTATTAGTAATACCAAGGTATTAGTAGTACCCTCCCTATCTCTCAAAACAAACAAGGTATTAGTAATACCAAGGTATTAGTTAGTCCTAAGGTATTAATAGTCCCAAGGCTATCTCTCAAAACAAACACCCCATATACTAATCCCAAGGTACTAGTAATCCTAATCCCCTTGCTATAACCCAAAACAAACGGGGCCTAAGGGTATAAAGTGTGATAAACCCTAATAGTAACTAACGTCTTAAAGCCATTGGACCCCAAGTTGAACTGTAAGGCCGGCCCACAATTGTGTTTTTACCCGGCCACAATTGTTTTATTTGAGCCTGGGAATGAAGTGATTGGATGCGCTCAATTGCTTCATATCAGATTTGACATCTGTATAGGAATGATAAATGGACTGAATGAGTTGACCAATTAACTGTTTAAATTTGATTTGAAAATTTTAATAAGTTTTAAAATTTGTTTAAATTTGGTTTGTTAAATTTTTAAGTCGATTTCAAACGAATTTTTATTGAGCCGAGTTCAAGTAGTTTGATATTTTATATGATTTTAGGTTTATTGAACCGAGTCGAATGAACAATTGACCTTAAAGCTTGGTTTGAAAACCTTAATGAGCTCTAAATGTGTTCAAGTTTGGCTTGCTTATTTAATGAACCAAGCTCGAACAAACTTGAGTCGAGTTCGAACCGTTTGATTCATTTATCACCCTTAGCTAGCTTTATAGTTGAGTTTATATAGCCTCCGTTTGGGAAGTGGGTTGGCTTTTTGGCTTTTTTAGCCTGGAGCTAAAAAGCCTGGTTTGGGAAGGGTTTTTTGATTTTTTGGCTTTTTTGACTTTTTTTGTGAGAGAGGAGTGTAATGATTATGAGTTGGATTTGATGTTTTATTTTTTGTGGATATTTTAGCCCCTAACCCATCAAAACCAACTTCCCAAACTATGCCATATATGTATATTACACTCATTTTTTTCTTAAATTTGTTGAAAATACAATTAACTCCATATTTTTGACATAATTATACTATTTTTTTTTTAAAATTCTAATTCACATAACAATTAAATCATTTTTCATTAGTAATTTGTTAGTCATATGAATAAAAAAAAATGATATTGTCATATTTAATACTAAAATGTATATTTTATCATTATTTGTTTTAGTACGTACCCTTCATTTAAATTAGTTTCAATTACTTTAATTTTACTAAAAAAGAAAGTTATTATAATAATGTCAAGAATATCAAACTAGTTGCATTTTTTCTAAACCTTTTTTAAAAAAATAAGTATAATTTACTTTTTCTTTTCTTTACTCTTTCTTTGTAGCCAAACTTGGCCTTACTCTCTTTTTAGTCAAAAATATTTTTTTTTATTATAAAAATCTTATTTATAGCCAAACAGTAGCTTTTTTATATATTAAGGCCTCGTTTGGGAAGTTAGTTGTTTTAGTAAGTTATTTTAATTTTTGGTTATTTTAGTAAGTTAAAATTTTTGTGTTTGGAAAATTGTTAGGTTTTTTTTTTGTTTTGTAATTCATTGTGATGTTTGTAAGAAAAAAAATAAAATAATTATAGATTTGATGTAACATTTTATCTTATTAATTATTTTAATTTATTTTATTTTTTATAAATTTTAACCTAAAAAAAGCCAAAAATTTACTTCCCAAACGGAGCCTAATTTTAAACTCGGTTTCAGCACGTTAATGGCCAAACTTTTGGTCAGTCATTTGCCAATTGGTTGGGCAACTATCAACTTTCTTTACAACGCCCAGCTGCTCCAAAACTCCCTAATCAATATGCTGCTCAGATCTGTTAATTTCTGTGTAGTTTATATTGCAGTAATTGTTACACCCAGGTCTAGCGGTGTATGTAAATTAAATGTATAATTAAATAAATAACAAAGTTATAAATCAATAATTTAGAAAATAATTTAATAAATTAAATTATGGATTAAATGATTATAGAAATTTTAAGTCGAGACTTGTGTTGGACATAATTTCCTTAAAGTAGATTTAGCCCTCGCTTCGGTGCTTTGAGTTTTAACCGGCGTCTACTTTCATGGATGCAACGACTAACACTTGAATTTGCAGCATTGCAGAATCAAGTTTGGCGAACCAAAACTCTATTGTGACTCTTTCTTTTTCTTCCTAAAATAAAATGCAAAACAGATGTAGAAACAGGAGGACGAAAAGAGGAAGAAGAAAGAAGAAAGAAGAAAGAAGAAAGAAGAAAGAAAAAAAGCTCTCCAAAACATCCATGGAAATAAATGCTAGATGGCCGACTATTTGTAAAAGGAATAGTGGCTATTCGAACAGGTGCCAACAGATAGGCAATTATTCAGACAGATTCAATAACAGATTGGACAGATTCAGTTTGAATTCAACAGGTATGAACCTGTTTTGAACCCTTTGAACCTGTTTAGGTGGGTTTGAACCCATTAGGGATCTGTTTGGGTGAAGGAAAAATCTAGACCAATTTATTTTGAATTTTGAAACCAAAATTAAAAATAAATAAATAAATTACAAATATTTTTGGCCCCAAAAGATAAATATTGGGCTAGACAAGCCCAATCCAACCTCACACCATGCACCCGCGCCCAAACCCAGCCCTCCCGCCCGACCGACCGGACGGTAGCGGCGCGCAGTATTTGTTTTGGGTTCAATGAATCTAGCCCACTTTATCCATAACCTCACTTTTCCATAAACTTGAGTACCTCTTGAGGCCCATCTCAAGTATACCAAGCTAGAGTATATAAACCCACACAAATCCATAAGCCTTTCTAATGTGGAACAAGCACAATTCACAAATGTGTAGGAAACCCACCTAAAGCCATTTCCATAAACCCGAAAACACGCGTTGAATTC